TATTTTGAGTGAAATATTTTCTTTCCAATAATTTAATGAAATTGCATAGCAAAATTACTAAAATTATAAAAAATAATAAATCATTTTTTTTAAATGAGAGCCAAAATAAAATTGAATTTAAAATATTGATTTCATTTTCTACTCTATAGAGCCTTAATGTGGTCTTAAAGGTGGTATTATTATTATATCAAAGGACAAAGTGACCATCTTTAACATAGATGGCAGTATTGATTGCATTTTCTTCACTGTCAGCTTTTTATCATTTAACATATTTATTATTGTTTGTTTCAAAATATTATAAATGATAAATATTATTGCTTTTAATTTATAATTTTGAAAAATTTTCAATAAATTAAGACTGAAAGAGATTTAAAAAAAAAAAGTCAACAACTTTATGTGATTATATATTGCATTTATTAGAAGAAAACAATTTAGGATATTTTCTATAAAAAATTGAAAGTAATGAACTTTCAATGTCTTAAATATACTTCAAAATTAATATAATAGATATATAATTAATATTATTCACAGTTTAAAATAACTTTTAAATTTTAAAATTTATTATAATTATTTTTTAATTATATTATTTTAAATTTTTTTATCATGCAAATATTTTTAAGATATCATAATTCATTTAAGATTATAAATAAGAAAGATAATTTATTATAAATTTATTTTCATCATAAATTTAGAATCCTTACATAATTCCATAAAAAAAATGTTGGAGTGAAATTTCTTCATCCTTTTTAATCCCTTTCATTTTCATTTCTAAATCACATATATCTCATAATTATCAATTTTATTAACTTCTTAATCACTAATCATAAACATTATAAAAATAAATGGATAACAAGTCAAGCAATAATTATAATAAAATTATAAAAAAATAATTAAAAAATTATTTTATATAAGGAAAGTGATTATATAATATTTCACTTAAATTATTAAATAATAATACATTTTAAGGAGTTATTTTATATCAATATTTTTAAAACAAGTTTAGTTAGGTTGACTCAAATTGGCTCGTTAAACTAAGTTGTTGAGCTTTTACTTATGACTCATTCATTCACGTACAAGTCAGCTTGGACTCACTTAGAACTTTAATGATTAATTAATTTAAAAAAATAAATAAATTTTGATTTAAACACTTAATATATATAAAAAATTAAAAAATTTGCTTAATTTTGGTTGGGCCTTTGTGATGAAGAAAAGACAGGGTCACATGTCCAATCCAGAGTCGCATGGGATTCGGATCAAAAAGGATAAATCTCGTGGAGTCTGTAGGAGCAGTAGAAAGAATGTTGAGTGCTGCAGCGAAGGATCCAAAGCCTCCTTCTTAACTTTTCTTTTCAGCTACAGCTTTCACTGGATGGATGCATTAAAGCCAATGTATTGTACATTGCTCAGTCTTTTATTCCACACTCAGCAATGAAATATCAGAAAAGTTTTCTGATTAAGAAAATATAAAAATTAGGATAGTTTAGGAGTAATTTATAGGAAATTTTTTTAAAAATTTTAAATTATCTATATATAACACCTTGATTTATATTAATATATATAAAAATTTGTTTAGATTTATTAGGATATTTTTATATAATTTTCATTATAATTATTGCGGACTGATAAATTTGCGGCGATAGAGTGAGAGTTTTTCGTCTTAGCGATGCACGAATATCCAGCACATAAACAGATAGTTGATAGAGCAAGAAAACACAAGAAAAGTTTTTCATGTGGAAAAAACCACGGGTATTGTCAGGAGAAGATTCTACTATATTTGAGTGAGTTATAAAGGTTGTCCCGTCGCTTAACTATGAGACGGTGAAATCACAATAGTTTGGAAAGTCGGTTGAACTTCTTATGGGTACTAAAAAGTTTGTAATATAATTGTGGTTGGACGGTGGAGGTCGGATGTCTAGTAGCTGCAGCTAGAAGAAAGTCGACGACCAGGCTGAGGTTCGAAGGTGGGTCCCATGGCCCCTTTTATCTTTTTTGTTATCAAGATTAAATATTTTATAAAATTATGAGTTGAATGGATTAAAAAGTAAAGAAAAAGGGGAAATTTACTTCTAAGGTTGAATGTGATTTAAAACATGAAGAAACAACATCAATGAAATGTTGAATCAATTAATTAGGGCTGTCATTGTCAATTTGACTTCTTCAATCAAAATTATTTGAAAATTTAATTTTTAAAAGTGATAATTTCATTGAATTTTTTTAATTAGGCAATAAATTATTATAAAAATATGTAATTTAAATATTTCATAATATAAAAATAATCTTCTCATTTAATTATTGTACCACATATCTTTTCACTCATCATTGAGATCATAAATGAGATTAGTTTATAATTAAATACATTTTTAATGACTAAAGTCTCAATCAAGTTGAGTCAGCTTAAAATAAATAAAAGATAATTATTTGTATATATTTATATCATTTATATATAAGAAAATTATAAATATAATTTCGAGTACATTTTTGTTTTATTTTTTCAAATTGGTTTTGATTTTAATTTCTCTTTTTTTTTTTGTTCTCGATATTAACACATAAAATTGAAAATACTTCAACAGCTTGAATGAAATCCTTCCAAAATGAATTTGAGCCCTCAAAATTATCAACAAGGAGATATCCTCATTCTTTAAAGAGATTTTATTTTTATTTTTATTAAGCTCATCTACTATATTTTAATTATATTTTTAAGATGACAAGATGCATATATGGTAATTAAAAATAATTTAATTTCAAACTTAATTGGAACTTACTTAAAATTAATATAACCCAAATTGATCCTAAGTTCATATTGGGCTTCATTTTTTACTCAAAATTGATTTTAAATTTAGTTCAATTCGATCAAAGACTGGTCTGCTCGACTTGATGGAAATATGGCTTGAAATCATAGTCGAATTGTTAGGTGAATATATAATTTCTTTTCCATTCATGTATTATGTTGCACTTTATAGTAAATCAACCTTCTTCTCTAAAGGATTCTTAGCAACAAGAAATTTCAAAATAGTCTTCTTAATTTCTAGGGTGAGAACCATTTTTGGCTATTTATGGATCAATGTTAGTACCTCATAAGTTACTCAAGTAAACTAGATGATGTACTCAAGTGGAGATCCTCTATCTAATTGATATAGATTAAATTATCACTAATAATAAAACAGATTTTTAGAACACTTTTTTTTTATCTATTATTGTTATTTAAACACCCACAAAAGTAACTGCAGCGGTCTAAGAACCGTTGTATTTGCTATCGCTGCAAACGGTTTTCACATCGCTCATGAAACTGTTGTATTAGCTATTATTTTTGGCAGCAGCTCCTTTACAGCGGTTAAATCCCCTTTATGGTTCCCATTGATCTTTCTTGTGTAGTTCGCATAAAAAAATATTATCAATTTTTTGTTAATCGAACCATTGATTCTATTGATAAATGTGCATTTTATTTTTAAGTTGGCTCTTAGTAATTTGTTTGAGTCATACATTAGAATGATTACAATGCTTTGAATGTTGATCATTTATGCTTCACACAATTGATTTTAATTAGTTGATGAAGTGTCTAAATGGATGAGAAGAATTTGAGTAGGTTTATTTATGTTTAAATAAAATAAGATCTATGAACAAATTTCATCTTTACAAAATATCTTCATAACAAAATTGTTTGTAACACCTTGAAAGATATTTGGATAGCTCATATTTGATTATCATGGATGAAATAATTTGGATTTAATTTGCACAATTTGCCTTTAGTGCTTAGCATGGTATGTCACTAGGTATAACTTATGTTTCATTTGCGACAGCTTTCCATCTAACTACTTTATAAAGCAGATTTTTAGTACAAAGTTTTTTTGAAAGCAACAAAAACATGGTGGTAAAAAATTGTCCCAAACAAAGCCTTAATATGACTTCCCCATTTAAGTTTGGGCTTGCATTTAAGCTTGATTTACATGACTAAACACCCTAAGTTTAACCTAATATCAGTGCTCCCTATCGTAAGTTGTTAAATATTGTACCCTAAAAATCTTTGGCTTCTAGCGGCTAATAATCATATTACAAGTGCTTAGACCTAACACCTAAAATTCACCATGTTTCTATTCACTAACTCTCTTCGAATCTCAACTTATGGGAACATCAACCTTCAACAATTTTTTACCTAACTTACGAGTCTAAGACCATCTATATTTAACGTGCTGCTGAGAATGACATATGATGCAAATGAATTGCATTGATACATCATAAATAAGGTGCTAAATTAATAACTCATACATAGCTCAAACATCAATATTACGTAAACTAGTAAAGGTCTGAGCTTTAAATAAGCGAGCCTTATAAAGATATTAAGGAACTTTATTTTAAAGATATTCATTAGCTTAACAAATGAGCCTTATCAAACATTCAAATAAACAATTACCTAAATTTTGTTCATGAACATATAAATATAGAAAGTTTTTTAGCTACCAATAAGCTCATTCACAAACAACTTTGGCAAGTGTTTTCAAGCTGCCAAATAAGCCCGCTCATAAATAAATGAGCTCATAAAATATATTTTTTTATAAACAAATTCGTTCATGAACATTCTAAACAAATAATCCAATAAACATAAATATATACATCTTATTTGACATAAAAAATAAAATTAATTTTTTTATAAAATAAAAAATATTTATTGTAATTAAACTAAAAATTATGTGAAATGTTTCAAATAAATATATTGATTACTCTTGTTTTATTTTACAAAGTTTTTATTAGAACTTAGATATCTCATTTTCTTGTTAATTATTCATATTAAAAAAAACTTCATTTTTAAAGTAAGTATACTCCTCTAATTAAATTTATGGCAGTCATTAATTAATTTTTGCACTCATTAATTAGCTGCTACCAATCTCGATGGCTTTAGATTGAGCGCAGCGAATAATATCCCATAATTTTCAAAAAAAAAAAAAATCCCATTCGCGGACACCAAACTCATCTCTAAATACTTTTGATGCACTGAACCAGCTCTTTACTTTCTCTTCCTGCTTTCGCGCTCGCTCTCTTTCTTTTCTTTCTCTCTGTGTCGCGCGTGTGGGTTCTTCTTCTCCTCCTTGACCTGTTCGACTCTCTTTTGCCTCATTGGAGAAAAAATTTCTACTTTTATCTTTGCTCTCTTTCCGCCGCCTGGAGTCTTCTCCATCTCCCTTTCCCTGCTTGGTTAGTTGGTTTTGCCCATTTCATCTTCTTCCAGCCGAAAAACTCCATCTTGCATGTACTCTTGCCATATATAATGGGCAAGTACATGAGGAAAGCGAAGCTGGCCGGAGAAGTAGCTGTTATGGAGGTCTCCGCCCAGTCGTCTATAGGGGTGCGTACCAGGGCAAGAACCCTCGCGCTTCAGCGCCACCAGAAACAGTCGTCCTCGTCCTCGTCCTCGTCCTCGTCTTCCGTCGATAATTCGTCATCGTCTTCGTCTTCCTCCTGCTACCTTCAGCTCCGCAGCCACCGCTTGGAGAAGCCCGCCATCAACCTGAATCCGAGGGAAGCCTCGGAGTCGAATATTTGTGCTGACGTGGAGGCTTTGCCGGAAGCCGACGGCGGTGTTGAGACATCGTTTGGGGAAAATGTCTTGGATTTCGATTGTAGGGATAGGTAGGCTTTTTCTCTCGTTTCTCGCTCATTCTCCTCTTCCATGGATTTTGTGAAACTAGGGTTTTTTTTCCCTTTGATTATTGTTTTCTAGGTTAAGTAAATTTAAATTTGCAGCCCCTTTTAGCTCCTCGTTTTTCTGCTTGATTTTGTTTTTTGAAAAACTTTTCTTTAATTCCGAAATTCCTCGGCTTCTCACCCGAGGTATCTTCTGTTTAGATTGTTGCATTTAGCTTGAGCGGCCAGTTTTCTTTTCTAGGTTATATGACACAACGATGAATGTTCCTTAATTACTCGTATCTTGTGAGAAATCTGGTTTCCATCCATCTAATTTTCTTAAAGGCCGAATCTTTCATTGTTTTCTTTTGATTTTTTTTTTTTCCTTTATTAAAAAAAAATCGAAGTAGTTCCATGAGTTTTTTAACATGACTCGAACTTGCCATTTTTTTATGGATATTGCTTACATGACCTTTCCAGTTTCTGCAAATTTGTCTTTGCTGTTTAGCTTCTTTTCTCAATGCTACAGCTGGGGCTTCCTCCTTAGGTCATTTATGTCCAGTTGTTCTTTTTCTATATTTGATATGTCTGGAACTTTATTATCAGCATCTGCTCAAAACAGTTGCTATTTTATCAGTTTCTCCACAAGTTTTTTTTTTTTTTCACATCCATGTTCATAAGCTTTTCTGCTTGAAATAATCTATATGAAAAAAAAAGAAGTTTTGGAGCTTCAATTTTTTGCAGGATAGAACACTGTAGTGTCTAAAATGGCATCAAATATAAGCATAAAAATATACTTTTTTATGTAAATAAGTTAATCTTAGTGATATTTTTTTAATCTTATATAAAGATTAGATTTTATATATGTAAATGGAAAGATTTAGATATCAGATATGGAAATTCATACAAATCCAGGGGTATTTATAATTTGATTTTATGTGATCATATCATTGTCATGGTTCAGTTTTTCTTATAGATTATTAGATGAGAGTATAAATTTTTTTTTTGGACATTTAGGCCTATTGAGGTAAACTCACACACATCACATAAGCAAGATTTGAACCCAAGGTGTCTTGGTTGGTAGCCAAAGTTCTCGATCAACAGATCAAGATGAGTTACATCAGTGAATTCTTGGGACCTTCATCATACTGCAGTTTGCAGGTGTTTATGTAATCTTTGACTTAGAGCATCTCCAACCAAAAATCCCATTTTTCACTCCAAAATGCAGTGAATCTCAAAAATATTGTGATTCATCTCCAATCGGACTCCATTTTATGGGCTTCTGCGAAGGATAACCGCCTTTCTCCTCTTGGCGCGTTTCTTCGGCAAATCCGGTTGAGACAGAAAAATCGCGTTTGTGAACAGTGCGATGCGAATATTGGGTTTCGGCTCGAGCGACCGAGCGACGCCATAGTTGTGTTTGGCGTTAGGTTGGAGATGCTCTTATACCATGGCTTAAAGTGATAAGGTTGGGTATCTTCTTTATTTATGACAACTCACTGATTGATCAAGCTGCTTTATGATTGATAGTAGAGAGTGATCATTTCTAAGAGTGTATAATATGCCAATATGTGGTTCTGATAACATTTCTGTAGTGAAGAATCTGGAGTTATTGCAGCCAAAAGTGAACTTATATGGCTTTTCCTCTGACTATTATGACTTATGAGAAGCTTGTGGTGCTTGATAGACAGACATGGTGATAATTTCCCTGCAGTGTTGGCCCATTGAATGTTTGGCCTATATATAGATTTTTGTCCTATGTGATCAAGTGCTCAAAGTACTCCTTTAGTTCAGATTTTTCTGGCTGGAAATTTTCTTCTGACTGGCTCATGTGACTTTGTTTTGGATGCTATTTGTTATTTGTTTGCACAGATACTTTGTTCCTTCATTTTGAAACCAGTTGGAATCTCTAATGTGTTCTCTGATTGTTTCAGGAATGCAAGGGAAACTACTCCTTGCAGTTTGATAAGAACTTCTGAAACTGTAAGGACTCCTGGTTCCAGCACCAGGCTAACTCCCGCAAATGCCTTTAATCGCAGTGTACAGAATGTCATGGATCAGAACATTCCCAGCGCCCATGAGATTGAAGAGTTTTTTGCAGGGACTGAGCGTCTTCAACAGATAAAATTCATGGAGAAGTATAGATTCCTTAATGAATTGCTACTGTTTTTCCAGTTGCTAGTTTCTGATAAAACTTACAATATGGTTTGGTGCTTAATTCTGTATTTGCAGGTATAATTTTGATCCTCTGAATGATTTTCCTCTTCCTGGTCGATATGAATGGGTCAAGCTCGACGCCTAGAACTCAAAAGATCCATCCTTTCATCAAAGCAAAATCTCTTTTGATCTTTATGTCCTGGTTCTTCCATAGAAGCCTGACTTCACAATGGTGATTAAGAAGATGAAGATCCTTATTACTATATTGTAAAGAATCAATGGATTTCCCTGTGATAAAAATGCAAGTCCAACAGTGTATATAGTATGCAGACCATGTTTCTCTGTCTTTAACACTTAGATTTAGGATCTCCTAACCAATTTTCTTGTATTTGACATGGTTCTGTAACTTGTTGACTGTTGGTATTTGAATGTTCTTTGGGAAATAAAACTTTGATCGTTAATAATATCTGCCAGTTTATTATATGAGAAGAGGTGAAGATAAGCTTAACAGAACATGGAGGCCTTCACTGCTTTCCTTTGATTGTGTGGGTGAGAGTTTCAATGTTCTTTTTGAAGTTATATTGTTACTTTCTCAGCTTTTTGGATAGTCTGCATCTGAATAGAAAAATGGAGTTTTTTATTCATATTTTATTCATATTTGCTTATGAATGGGGAGTTCAGCACTTGAAAGAGGGAAAGATAGGCTCAAAAGTGAGAGAGATTATTGTGTGCAGAGTCCGAATGCGTCCGGAGGTTGATTCGGATGTGTGTCATCCAATATATTGTGCATTGGGTGACGTGGCACGTCCGGATTGACCTCTGGATGCGTCCAGACACAGCATGCAATATTTTTTCGAAAAGTAGTGGTTGGTTCTATGCATTGAAAACATGTTGGGTGAAATTTTAAGGAGCACAATGATTAAAATAAATTAGTAGGATCATGGAATAAATAAAATTTAAAATAGTAGCAAATTTATCATTTAGTTTCGCATATTCAATTGAATGCATCAAAATATTTGGCGCATTCAGGATGTGTCAAATATTTTGGTGCATTTTATTGAATATGTCAAATGTTTTGGTGCATTCTATTAAATGTGTCAAAAGTTTTGGTGCATTCTATGTATTCCTTAAAAAAATTTATTAAGAGATTAAATAAAAATTTATTAGTAATAGAATGCACAAAAATATTTTTGAAGCAATTTTTTTAGTAACAGAGTAGTTTTCTTATAGTTTTTAAAATATTTTTTTAAAATTGTGAAAAGGTAATTCCTAAAAGTTATCCCTAACAAAGCCCGGCTCTATACTTGCCGCCACCTAAGATAAATTATTTTGTGCGGAGGCCGGATGCAGAACGCCGTTAGGAGATCAACTAGCTGTCACTTCAGCGGTACCGAGTAGTATTGAGCTGCAGTACTGAGCAAATTCTGATTGGTCTATAAACGACGTTCGGCATCCGCACAAAATAATTTAATCCTCTTCATGACACTCGATTACTTTGTTTCCATCATTCTGTGCTATTGTTCGTATTATTTATGATCATGACTTAAAAGTATTTTGTGAGTTTATTTATAATCCTTAAAACATAGAAGAAAAAAAAAATCTTGGTTCATTTTACAATAAACATTTATAATCATTCAAACACAGAGAAAAAAAATCTCAGTTCATTTTGCAATAAATGGAACAACTGCCTTGTATTAAATTTAGGTTGTTGTTGAAATTCTCTTTTACCATTCAACATTTGCAGATAAACAGACCTTATATTGAAATTTTGTTCGCATATATCACTCTGCAAATCTCAATTCATCCGAGAGAGGAAGAACGAGCAATAGCTTACTAAGGCTTAAATTAGATAATTAATGATAAAATAGGATTCTATGAAAGTAGAATTAAGTATAGGGGAGTTGCATCCCATAAGAAAGCCAATGGTTCATATGAATCATTCAGATCGAAATCCCCTCGAGCAAAAAACACCTGCCGAAGCCACTCACCGTCACTGGGGATAGGGGTGTCAATTTCGGGTCACGGATCGGGTTCTTGTCGAATCCAAAACTGACCCGGCACTATTTGGTAAGTTTGCTCCTTTCTAAATAATTTTAAGATTATGTTCCTTTCTACAATTTAAATATTAACAAAGCTCATTTTTTAAAGTTGTTGTCCAAACCAAAGGGCACACTTGAAAGAAATGCCTAACAGGACGGATCCGGTGGAATAAATAATTAAATATGTTAGTTTTGTTAAAAGTTTAGAAAGATATTGGCTTTATTTGTAAAAATAAATAAGTTCAATGATTTTTAATTTTTTTACACCTAAGTGGTAGCTTGTCCGCGGACACGTCTCTACTCAAAAATTATTCTGGTCAGACACCGGACGGTCTAGAGACTAACAAGAACGTACTACGTCATCCGGTACCCAACACCAATACCGAGCGAAAAATTGACGTGATGCGTTCTTGTTCGCATCCGGTGTCCGCACATAATAATTTATCCACTCTTTTATGGAGCCCTGCTTGAGGAGAAACTATTCTATGCGGACACCGGACGGTCCGGATACCAACAAAAATATATCACATCACTCAGTATCAAGCGGTATCGAGCAAAAAAAGTGACGTGACACATTCTGATTTGATCTCAAGGAGCCGTCCAATGTCAGCACTAGTCCTGTTAATTTCTGCACGACCCGAAAACCCGACCTGAACCAGACTAAAAAAATCAAGGTTATGGTCAACCTGTGAAATAAACGTGTCGGATTATGGTCTAATTTCTAGACCAGTTTATATTTAGGGTTAGGTTTGGGTCAACCCGTCAACCCGACTAACCCGCGACCTCTCTATTTAATGGTTATATTTCGAGTTGAGAGGGCGAGTTTAGCACTTCAGTTGTTCGTGTCTTCGTCTCTTCCGTCTTATTTCGTTTTAGGGTTTGTGCTCATCGCTCTCTCTTTTCAAGAGCATTGTATCAGTGGAGTTCTCTTGCTATCTTCTTCTCTCGACCTCTCAAATCTCGTGGTTCCCCCGACTTCTGAATTTCTCCTCGAATCCTTGTCCTTTTTGGCTTTCTCAATCGCGACAGTTGGTAATATCTTTAATAACTATTGACCTCTTGTTGTTTTGGATTGTCGGTGGACGGTGGGACGATCAGACGGTGTTTCTGATTTCTATTTAATTTTTTGATGGAAGATTTGTTCTTTTTTATAATAATTTTTTAGCTTCAACTTTCGGTGTTTGAGCGTTTTCGATGTTACCGATTTGGTGATTCTATTATTTCTAAAATATGTATATGGAGGATTAATCGATTAGGGTTTTCTTATAAATTTATAATGACTGAGAGTCTGAGGTGGGGTTAAAATGTTGATTAGGATTTCATTGTGAACTTGAGATCAGGAACTTGACATATTTCATGTTATGCTTATAATGACTGTCACAACGTAAATGAGCTGCTTATTGCTATCAGTGTTATCATTGCTATGTTGCATTGATAGATAATTGGATTAGGGCTTGATGTTGCTGACTGGCTGACTATGTTAATCTATTATGTAATGTTGTTGTTAAGCACTTCAACTATTATTATGATTATTAGTTATTTAGTTTATACAATATAAATTCATAAGCCACCATTCCACCATGTTGGCTTGTTGTGATGATGTCTGCTGACTTGCTGATTTTTTTAGAGGAAGTTCGTTAAGACCAAAGGTACTAACAAATAAATAAAATAATTGCTTTTTTTGCCTATTAATTTCTCTCCTTTATGCAATCATGTAATGTGGAGTTATGCAATGGGCACAATTTTTGGATTTGTTGCAATTGATGATTATGCTTTATTCTTGTTTAGCTAAGTTGTATTTGACTATTTATAAATTGTAATATGTTTTTTTTAACTTGTAAGTTGTAAGTTTTAACTTGTAAGAATTTATGAATAAAATTTAAATTTTTTTTGTTTATTGATCTTTTGCATTTTAAATCTTTGATTGTTTATTGTTTCTTATTTTCAATAATTTGCTTAAAAATAGTAAAAATTCATTTTTGAATTTTTTTAATGGGTTTGCGGGCCGTGTTGACCCGGGTGTGGTTTAGCCCGGGTCGGGTTCTGATTTAGATTATGAACCCATTGAGTTAAACGTGTCAGGTTCAGATTGACCCATTTAAGCCCGGGTCGGATTCTGGTTCAGATGGACCAATTTAAGCCCAAATTGACACCCTTTTGCTAATTTTTCTCGTTGAGTCGGCTCAAGAGTCAGCCCAATAAATAATATAGAAGATTTCAAAAGCAACTCTTATCAAACTCGGCACCGACGAGTGTTGGCGGCATGGAAACTATGGAGGAAGCCGTCGGATCCACGGCGCCGAGTGCAGTGGTGGCGGCGCTGGCTTCAGCAAAGCAGATGTCGGGGAAAACCTTCAGGCAGATCGCGGCAGAAACAGGTCTGACTAACGTCTACGTGGCCCAGCTCTTCCGGCGACAAGCCCAGCTCAAGCGCGAAACTGTTGCTTCCCTCCGTTCCGCCGTCCCCACCCTCACTGGTAAACTTATATCGGAGATGATGGTTCCGCCCTTCCGATCATACCGCCCCAACATCATCCAAGAACCCGCTATCTATAGGTAGGTATATCTCTCGAGGTTTTTCTAAATTGTTTTTTGTTCTTTGGACTTTGTTTGCTCATACGAGAGTAGGTATCTACTGCGGTTCTTACCCATCTTTCTCTTGAAAGCTATTTGTCATGAAAATGTTAATATTGTTAGATTCTAATGAAGTATTTGATTATTTGTTTGGTATTTTACTTTAGGCATGAGAAGTAATTGTCAGAAAGTCTGGTTTGCAACTCTGTCTTGTCTCATCCCATAAGACCCGACATCCCGGAATATAATATCAAATTTTTAATAAAACAATCAACTCAAATTAAAGATTTTCTCAATCTAAATTTAAATCCCAACACTTAGCTTAAGTTAAGACACTTTTGAATTGTTTCAGAATCTCAAAGTGTCTCCTACCCCTCCTCTTTTGACTCTGAAAATAAGTGTTCAAAATTCGATCCACTCTAAGGTCAAATTCCAAATTCACCTCCTTTGATATCACTCATAAAAATTTTCTAAACAAAATTTTCGTCATTATTTTAATCGAGAGTAATTGTAGGAGACCCCGATTTTCTATGATGTAATTAACTACGAGGGCTTGCGCTCGTGGCAGATTTAGAACACACATCCACCTTTTCAAAATTGATTTTCAAAACTCTAAGAAATCAACCAACTCAAACTAAACTTTCTTTCAATCCAAAATTTAAATCCCAACACTTAGCTAAGGTCGGAAAACTTCTGAATTGTTTTAGAATCCCAAAGTGCCTCTTACCCCTCACCCTTTGACTATGAAAATAAGTGCTCAATCTTGCTCCAATTCCACTTGAAATCTCAATTTCATCTCCTTTGATATCCACTCGTTGGAATCTCTAAATAAAATTCGTCATTATTTTAATCGAGAGTTTTCATAGAAAACTCTAGTTTCCTACAATGTAATTAACTACGAGGGCTTGCGCTTGTAGGGGATTTGGAGTCCACATCCACCTTTTCAAAATTGATTTTCAAAATTCAAATTAATCTTCTTTGGAAAAATTGAGCCTACGACGATCGTTATCACTTCCTTCCTTTGGGGAGATGTATCACTTGTTAATAAGACTTTGTATATGAAATTAACAGTAATTAACTTAGAATATGATTTTTCGAGGTCATATGTAATTTTTTCTTAAATCTGGATATGATATTTGAGAGGAAATTTGTAATTCTGAATTTGAACATCATTTTTGAAATCTCATCCCAAATAGATTATGATGTATTTGTTCTTTAATCACACCCTTAAATCGTGGAGTAGAGGACTTCATGTCATTTTCATAGTTTGCCTAATATAGGGAGCTTTGAATTAAGCTTTAGTTATCGGTTGAAGTTTGGTTCATTTTAAAAGAGTGCCATTTGTATTAGGTGAAGTTGGATTTACTTAGGGGGCTTCAAAATCACCTAAGTTGTCTGATTTGTGGATTCATGAATCAAAACCCACTCATTTGAGTCAAGTTGTGAGCTTGATGTTTCTTCACCAACTTGGTTATGAACATGTGACTTCATACTGGTCCAATAGATTTGGTTAGGAGATATGTGGCTTTGTGCTTGTCCATTAGATTTAGTGGGGCTTACAGCTTGAGGAAGGCCCAACTTGGTTGAATGGACTTAATGGCTTCATTCCAATATAGTTGATTTGAGTTTGTTGGTCTCTCATCCCCTAATAGACATGTTTGGCTTAATGGCTTGGTGATAGTTGAACTGATTGAACTTAGTAGGTTTTGTAGTTTGACGTTGGCCTAAATGAGTTGAGTGAGCTAAATTTCTTCATGCCAGTCTGATAAATTTGATATTTATGGAACTTATAATTTCTTACATATTTGATTCATTGAAGTAGCCAAAACTGTGAAAACCTAGAAATATGCATGCCCAGTTCAGATGTGATATGATTGCATCACGGTGTCTAAGGACACGATCTAATAGATCGTTGTATCGAGTAGTTGGATCGTAGTCTCTTACCATAAAGATGGCTGCATGTGCAGCAGCGCCAACTATAAGAAATCCCCCGATCCACATGTGATGTGTTGTCTTAATAGCTGCATGTTGAGGTAATCAATTAGATTGATGGGACTTAATCCACAAGGAGAAAGACCCATATTTTTCTAATATATTTTATTATTTTAAAGGCCTTTAAATTCTTAAACAAATTTGTTATTGGATTAACAAGACTTATAACTCTGAGAAGGTACTAGATTTTGTTGACAAAATTGTCTTAATCTGTCTTCAATGTCTTCTGCAAATACATTGTCAAAGAAATATCCCTGCAAAGCTGAGCACTATGCCAGTTAGCCTAAAATATCTGACCACTGTGGCTTTTGGCTTTGGAATTGTAAATCCTCTAATATTGAGGGCCTCTCTCTTGTTGCTGATTTGTTAGATATCGTTTTGGATTTTGATATTTTGCTAAATTGGAGATGAGACTAAGTTTAAAAGGTTGTCAAGGGAGTTTGAATGGTCCACATCTTTGATGAGGCCTAATAATACTTAGGATGCACTATGCTAGTTAGCATAATGCATCTGACCACTATAAACTTTGGCAACTCCTTGTAGAATTGGGATTAGATGTCCTTTAATATTGAATATCTCCTTCCTTTTCTTTCTCTCTCATGTATCAGTCAAGCTAGTTCATTTTGATAAGGAGACTGACTAATTTTAAAACTTGGGTTTAATAAGGTTTTATATAGAGCTGGTTCATTTTGCATCTCCAGCTGAGGCGACTAATGCTAACGATGCACTATGTTGGTTAGCATAATGCATCTATCTACCATGAACTTGGGCGTCTCGAGTTGGGATTAGATGTCCTTTAATATTTTGAGGGGCTCTAATCTCTTGCTACTCTATTGGGTATTGATTTGGGTGATTCTGTTAGGCCGGCACCTGAGTCGGCTGGACCGGTCCAGGTTTATTCCCGGCGGAAGCCAGGCAAACAGGGGGAGGGCGGAAAAGCTAGGGGGCCCACTTGAAGCCAATTTCAAATTATGGGAGGGAGAATTTGAATTAGAAGGGGTAATTAGGTCTTTTGTAACTCTCCTTTCATGTTTAATTAGGGAGATGAGGGGGGAATTAGGGTTATCTTGATTTTGAATGTGATTTGGGAGATCTAGGTTTTTCTTTTGGGCTCTAGACTACGACTAGAGATTTGGAGAGTTTTTCCCAAGGCTGTGAAAACCGGACCGGACAAAGAACCTGAAGAAGGAGAGGTTCAAGGTTTGACTGGTCGAACCGGGGTCGAACCGGATGATGTAATAAATACTAATATTATTAAAAATTTATAACATTAATAGAATAATTATGTGAATTTAACATCAAATAATATAATTCTAAGAATTTAAATTATATAATTTTAATAAGTTATCTCTCAATATAATTAAATTAAATTGAAATGATGAATATAATATAATTGTAATTTATAAAATATTAGTTAATTATATTATATTTATGAATATCTAATAATTTAACTATAATTAATTTTTATATTTCATTATAATTTTAATAAATGAGATTCTTATAATATACATTATAACAAATTAAAAATTTTAATATAATATATAAATTTATAAT